CACGCTTTATCCATGATATGATTGAAATAAAGGTAACTACTTATACTTGCAGCTGTATTACCTAGGGTCAACACTAGGTGCAATGAATTTAGGATACGGGTCCAGACCTGGGATGGCCCCATTTGTTCTTGTAGTGTCTGCCGCAGTGTATAGTACATGTACATGCGGCTAGTCCGCTTTGCTTCATGGTTAGTTATGTGCGTGTTTTATGCTGCTTCTTCGAAATTGTGCGAATGTTTGCTCTTATTGTTATTTTATTCATTTAATTGATTTTATTACTATGTTCCGTTTGTTTTACATGTTGTAAATGTGTTTTATATATGGTGCTGATAGTGGACAATTGTATAATGTCTGTTTTTATGTCTATGTGTTTAGCTTCAATGTTTTATGCATATATGTAGTTTATGGTAAAAATTACTGTCCTGCTATATGTATGTATGCATGTATATATATTTAGCTTTTAACTTTGCATGGAGCCTTTTTTTAACACTTTCTGTTTCATAATGTTTTATATATATGTAATTTCTTGAAATGATGCTTTTAACTTATGATTGTTGGAATAATAACTTTTAATAGCTAATGTTAACTGTTTTTTTAAATATCCGACGTTAAATAAAGTTTATTGTATTGTATTGTATTGTACGACGCAGTCGTCTGTCACAACACAACAATGGCTGACAGGTTTGCTTCACTTACGACGGATTCGTCTGTCACAACACCATAATGGCTGACAGGTTCGCTTCACACACGGCGGATTCGTCTGTCACAACACAACAATGGCTGACAGGTTCGCGTCACACACGACGGAGTCGTCTGTCACAACACCATAATGGCTGACAGGTTCGCTTCACACACGGCGGATTCGTCTGTCACAACACAACAATGGCTGACAGGTTCGCGTCACACACGACGGAGTCGTCTGTCACAACACACTACTGGCTGACAGGTTCGCTTCACACACGACGGAGTCGTCTGTCACAACACACCACTGCCTGACAGGTTCGATTCACACACGACGGAGGACATTGCGACCACTATCCTGAAAGCATAGCGGCTGACCGGCAGGAGCTGTAGTCGTCTGTGCATATGTCTCGTGTGTACCCCAATGATTGGCGAACAAGGTACAAGTTTGATATCCGGTTGTATTTCTGTCGGCGAGGTTGCGAGAATATGAAATAAATGTTATCACTGTTGGCTTAGTATTGTCAATTTGAATAAATATTTTGTTATTTGAATTTGATTTATTTTGTTTTATTTTAGAGTTTGCGTATGACAAATCCGTTATACAGGTTTTGTGCAGGTAACATGGACTCATATTACCTGTCTTGGTTTCATATTCCCCTTTGGCTCGAGGAATATAAAACCAAGACAGTTAATATGAGCCAATGTTACCTACACAAAACCTGTATTACTAATATATTTATTTTCAAAAGGCTATATACATTTGATGGTTCATTGTTAGGCTCGCAGACGAGTAAAAAAAGGATGAAATATGCATGGCAAATGTTCTAGGTAGATCTATATATACTATCTATTTCATCTGATTATGTGAAAACACATTATTTATTAAACAGGCCTTTATTTTACATCCGCCTTTTGTTTACTTGGTGGTACTCATTTCCCAAGGAGAGCCCGAAGGATGAGTAGCTTTTGCTTTGAAAGATTTTACATCAGATAATTGATTTTCCACCTTTTATGTCTGGATACTTCACATCTTCCATTATGTTGCATATTTTATAATCAGACTTCAGTTTATGATCACCTGATATATATATATATATATATATATATATATATATATAT